TATTTCACTTTATAATTCAATAAATCCATTAATAAAATCTTTATCTAAAAATTTGAGAAAAATTTGAGAAAAAAGTGATATGAATTTAGATAAAAAATACTCGTTCTTTAAATTTTAAGTAATACAGTAAGTAAAATTTAGTAACAAATAATTTAAATCTTAAATTTTTTTATCAAGTTATTTTGATATAAAACAAATAAGTTTTTAAAGTATAATAAAAAATTATAAATTTTTTTATATTTAAATATCATTTCTTATATTCAAAAAATAATTTCAAAAAATATAATAAGAAATTTTATTTGGATTTCTTTTATGGATTATTTATCAAATTTCACATAAAATAAATGATTTTTCATATCGGAATAAAAATAAAATTCCAATAATTACATTTTTTCATCAAAAATTTAAAATTTTGTACTATGTTTTTATATTTGACTATATGTAAAATTAGTCAAAATTTTTTATTAAAAATTATAGTTTGCCAAAATTATATTAAAAAATAAATTCCGAAAAATTATGCCTCATACTGTATATACTGTGGTATATTTCATCTAACGCAGGTTTTGATTGCTTGATTTTTTTCTCTCTTATGAATACTATTAGTATAAATAAATAATTGCAAATAAACGAGCTTGAAGAGAATGGATACCCGCTTCCGTTTTTCCTACAACTTGTCTTATATGTGAAGGGATCGGGTTGCTACATGTGAGAATGCGATCGTGATTGGCTGAAACTGGTCCTTGCAGCATGTCTTCTGTGTGCTTGGGTGGTCCGGGCTTGTCAGTACAAACATGCCCTTTGACAGTTGCTGCCCACTCCTGATTATCCAAGTCCTTAATCGTGATGGCACCGTCTGTCTCGGTCCAATCAAACACCATAACCGCACCATTCCTTCCAGCATATTCGACAGCATAATCAAAATCCGGAGTTGTATATACACCGAACCCAAATTCGTTATTTACCGAATTTGTTGGAAAACCATTTATGATGGCGCGATGAACTTCTACCCACGTACGAACTCCACGATAAAGTAGGTACTTATTATAAAGCAATTCATTTATTTGCTCGAGTATCTTTTCGCGATTCTTATTTTTTCCGAGAATTTGCCATTTGTATATAAAGATGCTCTCGGGAAATGTACTATGACATTGTGCATTTACGATTTTTCCGGGTGGAATAGATTGAACTTCATTTGTCACAAAGGGAGGAATTTTTCCTTTTGAGAAAGCGTATTGTTCAATTTCTGGGTAATGATGTATGTGTGGGAAGTGCAAACCGGAAATAACCGCTTCGCGGGCTACAAAAAGCTCTGATGAAACACCAAAGGGAACGTCGATATGTTCGTTCCATTTCACCACACCGTCATCATTAAAGCCGAGATCTCTAAGAATCATCTGTGCTTCTTCAGGCAATAATTTCTGGTAAATAGGAATAGGCCGTGATGTATCTATCGATATTTCATAATAAGATTAGTTAACATTTAATTCTTTCTATATTATTACTACTAGTTGAAGAATATTCCTATAAACCGATAAATTAAGAAAATAATTTCATTCCTAATTACTTACCATCGGCTAAAAAAGTTTCATAAGGTATATCCCTAAATTTTAGCTTAACAATAAAAATTATTGGTTCTAAAATGAATGCAGGATATTTGGCAGATACGTACCATGTTATAGATGATTCATTATCAGAACCTTCAATTGACAGGTCTTTGGAATGTGTTTTATCTTTAATTTTTAAATTTAAGTTATCTGATTCAGACTTTCTAATGTGATCAACCAAACTACTTTTGTACGAAGGACTTATGGCTTCCCACAAGAATGCTGAATAATGAGAGATCGACGAATTTGAAGGACATCTTTGACAATTTTTATTAGATATTTGTTGGAGTTCGCGCTGTATGTATTTCCGAAAAATACTAAATGCAAAGACTTTTCTCTTTGGAACTTCAAAATCATACGGACGAGGCAAGTCTAAAGTAAAAATATCTCCGTTATATTTGAGGAAAAGATCGAGTGACCCGTCGTCATTCTCATACAACGAAAGATGCTGTATTTCCATTTTATGTGAAATTGGGTAGTTGTTTAATATGCTATCGTGTGATTTGTTTTGATAATTAAATTTCTCATAGACTGAATATACTGTATACGTACTGTTTATTCTATTACGTACTAAGTCTCAGATGGAACATCCCTTGTAAAATAAAATGAACAGTGGCTTGGCTGCCACGAGTGTTACACACGGCCACAATTGCTGAAAAAAAAAAACCTCCCGGGTATCATTAAAAACAGCTTAAAGAAACCAATTATTTGAAGCAAGGCTGTCATCATTCTTGTTATCCTTCCTCATCCCTTCGTAAAAACACTATCTCATTTAATTCTTACGGAAGTTATCAAAAAACATGGGAAAGAGCCCATAAAGGAAAATATAGAAATAAGGGGGATTTCATATTTCCGAGAATGAGTTTTATCGTGAAATTTTGACCGATTATTTATTTATATAAGCACGGGAAATTACTCTCGTTTCCCGATTGACTATTATTTTTACACTTGTTTCAATTAGATTAGGAACCTGTAAACCTTTAGTGAAAAAAAATTAATAAAAAGAATCTATGTGAAAAAAAATCGATATTTTCGATCAATATAAAAAATGGGAAAAACAGATAATTATAAAAAAATTCTTTTCGTTGATTCCCAGTTTTCCTAAAATTTTTCTTTTTGAATAATTTTCTTAAAAACAAAAGAAGGCAGCCTCAAACACAAGAGAAGAACCCAAACAAATTAAAAGATATCGGCTTGCTACTAAGTTCCAGTGAATATACAGTATAACTTATCAACAATAGATATACTGTAAGATGAGTATAAGTGAAACCAACTATACTTTACATAATTTTTTTTTTTACAGAGAAAAGAAAACCTCAGAGATTCACAGTAATCTTCTTGAGGTCCAAACTTAACTCCTCAAAGCTTTCAGTCGGGCCAATGCAGGTTAATATTTTTCTTAATATTCAAAAAATTTCTGTAAACAACAAACTAAACTGATAAATCAATTCAAGCTCAAGGTCCACAACATATAAGAAGGCATTCAAGTTTTTTTTTACTTCACAATAAAGAGATATAAAACAACACAACAATAGATTCCATTCAAAATCACATTATATGAAAACAATTATATCTATCAACTATATAATAATTAATATATATGTCAAAGTAAGCATCTTATTCAAATATGTCCTTTTCTTATACTCTCATATGTTTATAGTATTTTAATTAGTAATATAACAAATACATGTATATTATAAACATATTGTATATAACTTAAAAATAAATAATTAATTAATTAATAGATTTGTACTCAAGCATGAAAACAATAATATATTATTATTTGAAACACAATAATAATTAAATAAAAATAGCTCTTTATGTAAATAAATAACTAATATAATGTTATAATGATACAAACAAATATAAATTATAAAAAAAAAAAACATATATTATAAATATATTAGTTTGGCTATTAAATAAATATAATTACAAATATATTAATTTGGCTATTAAATAAATATAATTACAAATATATTAATTTGACTATTAAATAAATATAATTAACAAAAACTTTAGAAATTCAAGTCATTCACAATATAATCTCTATTCAAAAAAATATATTTAATTATATTCCAAAATTAACTTGATATTTAATTACAAATAGTATTTTGTCAGATTCTAAATACTGGTTGAAGTATTTTTTAGCAAGATTTTAATTCTAAAATAATATATTTTTTATATATAGGTTTAAAGTAAAAAAATTTTTTTTAGTAACATTCTTATAAAATAAGTATTTTAATATAATAAAGTAAAAGAAATAAATATAATTTATCTTCTATATTATATTGTTGAATTGATTAAGAATAAAGAATAATTTTTTAATTAAAAATTTACTTTATAAAACAAATATTATAAAAATTTAATTGGTTATAAAAATTTCAATAATACTAAAATAATAATAATAATAATAAACTAGAAAATAAAATAAAAACAAATAAAATTATAAAACTAAAATAAAAATATTATAGAAATATACGGTTGTTCCAAAAGTTTGAATCCACTTACTATGTTTTTATTATAAATTTCAACTTTGACAATTTTTAAATCCTTAACTATACAGTCAAAAATTAAAAATTTAAATATATTATATTTTAATACTTACTTTATTTCTCATATTTTTTTAAAAAAATTTTTATTAATACATTCTAAAGTTTTATTATTGCTAAATATTTTTATTTTTTTATTAATT